AATTGCACAAAACGCATGATCGCACCGGCTAGTTTGGTGCGCGTTGCTATTTATTTTAATTTGCGATTGAAAAATTTTTCATTTGCATGACGATGGAAAAGCTATGAACCGTGGCTGGTCAAACGACGGGAAACAAGTGTCGCAGCGAAATCGATGTTTCGCTAATTTCTATTACTTCTGTTATCTGCTACAAATAGTCTACGGCAAACAGACATCGATTTTGCTGCAGCACCCATTTTTCGCCGTTTTATCAGCTGCTCCAGAATGCCAAGAATTTCAACCCGCCACAGGGAACAACCAATTTATCTAAAAATCGCTTATCCGACAAAACACGGAAACACTCATAGGTGGATCCAGGACCGACTTCTGGGGAAAGGGAGGAGGGAGGAGCAACGGGGTGGGCAGAGAGCCTCCTCTCACTTCGGAACTACGCAAAAACTAGGAATAAAGTTGTAACACTGATACTTGGAGTTACTTTAGTTTATAGTTACTTCAAGCTTTACTTTCAGCTTTAGACTCGCTGGCGCCTGTGCTGCTGGGGGAGGGGAGGGGGAAAGGCCCCTTGCCTCTCCTTCGGGTGGGTCCGCCTATGGGGATACCATGTGAACAGCAATTACATGATTTCCAGTTTTAAACGAAATAATAGACCAACAAGATTGTACGCAGGCCATGTTTATGGTGTTATTTTATGGTGCAAATTGCCTTTATCTTTCAGATGTAGTGGGGTGATATTTTTCAGTGCAGCCTCTGTGTTTTATCCCTTAGCTGTAAACACAGACCGGATTATGCGTGCGGGTAGGAGTGGGAATCGTCAGTACAGCTTTCTACCTGCCATGTATTGAAAGGACATGTAACTAATTTGCTAGAAGGATGAAAGAAAGGAAAAAGATAAAGAAAGTAAGAAGGATAGAAAGTATTTAATGTCATGGAAGAAGTAGGAGTGACAGAGCAGGTGGAAGAGGAGGAAACTAACATATGTTAAGGATAGTAATTCTACGAAATTATGAGGAGACAGCTTTCATGAGAATATCGCACCAACTAGGTTTTTAATTCCTAGTTCATCAGGGTAAATGAATTTGCTCAGTAACTTTATTTTACTTTTCACTCTTTCTTTTATCCCCGTTCAGATTTATACATTATCATTTTTGCATTTCGACTACTCTTTTTCGGTACGTATTGGCGCATGCCTCGAAGTCAAACCCGCCATCAGCTCTTCACTAAACAACCACTGCAAAAGAGAGCAATCGAGAGTCTTGTCAACGGATGGCTGCATGCTGCCACTGGGCCACGCCGGTTCAAGATGCAGTTTTAACTTTCGAAAACGATCGATTTTTAAAAAGCATTACCTCCTCGTCTTCTTCGTATTCCTTCTCAGGCTTCACCTGGTGCGCCAACTCCATATCCATAATGATGCAGTCAGTACAAGATGTAAGGCACCTGCAACCAGCCAATTTTACAAGCTGCCAACAAGACTTCCTGCAACGGCATCACTTCGCAAGTACAAAAAAATCTAGAAAAATTCGCAAAATCCAGTAGGCCGAACTACGGCATGTTCCGTAAGACAAATTACGCGGGCCCTTGCCGCAATTACCAAAACTCGGCAATCATTAAACTCCGGCTCGGCCACCATTGTGAGATGCTCTAACTTCTCAGCCAATGCTGTCTCACAACGCATACCTTACCAGGTGCTTGGCACTTGGCCAACGAATTAGTCAGGAGCTCGAGGCAAGAACTGGAGACAGAAGCAAAGATGAAGAGACAACGTAGCACTACAAAGAAAAGCAAATTAAAGCAGTATGGAATTTATTCAAATAGAGCAGAAAAGTGAAAATAAAAAATCGGAGCCCGTGAATAACAGCTAAAACCCAGGCTGGAACGCACCGGGCGGGCCCGTGCGATCATGCGTTTTTGCACAGGACTTGAA